CTCCACCTCTTAGCACTCACAATCTAACTTCTGTCTCTGGATCTGCCTATTCTAGATAATTCATGTAAATGAAATTGTATAGTTTTGTGGCCTTTTGTGACTTGATTATTTCACTTAGCATAATGTTTTCAAAGTTTATCCATGTTGTTACATGCATCTGTGTTTCCTTTTTTATGGCAGAATAGTATGTATACTCTTGTATCCATTCATTAGTTGATGGCCATTTGGGCTTTTACCACATTGGTGATTATGAAGAATGCTGCCATGGAGTTGGTGTTTGTATCACACAAGTGGTCAGGAGGAACATGGACTTGGACCCTTTATCTTTAAAGAGAAGGCTTTGCTCTTTATTCTGTAGCACATTTTGTTTAATAAGCAGTTTCTTTTCTAAAAGACATGGCAGTAAAGGTTCAATCACATGTGTTAATGTTGATGAACTGAGAGAGATGCTATTAAAAACATGGGTTTTTCTTTTAGCTTTTGAAAGCAATGCTTGCAGTTATTGGCGCCACGTATTGCTTAGTTGTGGAAGTCAGAGTCCATTGTTCCAGTTTTCCATTTATAAGTGGGTGCCAAGGAATTCTTAGCCCCTTGGTTTCACCTGAATGACTTATTGTCCACATTAATAGAATGTACCTGATCGCCTATTACCAAGGCAGTGGCTTTCATCTTGATTAAAAACTTCAGAGAATGAAAAATAAATGGCAGAGTGGCATTAGTATTACAGAGTTCAGAATGTGCACCAGGAGGTCGTAAGAAAAAAAATGGCTTATGATCTACACCGGGCATACCTTGAGGCAGAGTGAGTATTAAGAACTAGTTAATGATTAAGGATGAACATTTTTAGACCAAGGAAAAAGTATAGGCAGTGAATGTAAGAAGCTTCAGAGCTTGTCATATAGAATTGTAAAAATAAAACTAGTCCAGTTTTCAAGCAGTTTCGGTAACAGTGTTTAAATGGTAAATTAACACAAATCAATCAACAATTGGAAGGATTTGGCTTATCTTGTTTAGGGTACAGGGTTTGAATAAAGATTAGTCAATCTTTGAAATTTTGATGTGCCTGATTGTTTGTTTATATTGGTGTATAACTAGGTAAGATTTCACCCAACATTTGGTAATCTTAGGATGACTAGAAAATTGGTCTACCAAGAGAGCAAGAAGTTGTGGGACACCTACTTCTGATACATGGTCATATTTGTCAGGGGGAAACAAGCTACTTTTGGCAGCAGATAATGGGTTAATAGTAACTGATTGGCCCTATGGTTCGTTATTGTACTTAATGGGCTTTTTAAAAAAGTTATGTTTTACTTATTATGCCGTTACAGTTGTCCTGGTTTTTCCCATTGCCCTTCTCAACCCACCCCCCGCCACTCCTTCCGGTAATCCCCCCACCATTGTTCCTGTCTGTGGGTCATGCATAGGTTCTTTGGCTACTCCTTTTCCTGTATGGTACTTTACATCCCCATGGCAATTCTGTAACTACCTATTTATACTCCTTAATCCCCTCACCTCTTTACCCATTCACCCAAACCCCCTCCCATCTGGCATCCATCAAAACACTGTCCATATCCATGATTCTGTCTCTGTTTTTCTTTGCTTAGTTTATTTTTTAGATTCAATTGTTGACAGATACGTATTTTTTCTATTTTGTTGTTCATAATTTTGATCTTTTTCTGAAATAAGTCCCTTTAACATTTCACAGAATAATGGTTTGGTGATGATGAACTCCTTTACTTTTTTCTTGTCTGGGAAGCTCTTTATCTGCCCTTCAATTCTAAAATGATATCTTTGCTGTGTAGAGCAATCTTGGTCATGACTTTGAATATTTCTTGCCAACCCATTCTAGCCTGCAAGTTTCTTTTGAGAAATCAGCTGACAGTCTTATGGGAACTTCCTTGTAGGTAATAACTTCTTTTCTCTGGCTGCTTTTAAGATTCTCTGTCTTTAAGCTTTGGTCCTTTAATTATAATGTGTCTTAGAGAGGGCCTCTTTGCATCCATCTTGTTTGGGACTCTCTGTGCTTTCTGGACTTGCATATCTATTTCCATAACCAAATTAAGAAAGTTTTCTTGCAGTATTTTTTCAAATAGATTATCAATTCCTTGCTCTTTCTCTTCTCCTTCTGGTACCCCTGTGAGGTGAATGTTGGACCTCTTGAAGTTGTCCCAGAGGCTGCTTATACTGTCCTCATTTTTTTTAAAAGCTCTTTTTTCTTCTTGTTCTGATTGTTTTTTGCTTCCTTATGTTCCAAATCATTGATTTGATTCTCTGCTTCATCCACTGTAGTGTTGTTTCCCTGTAAATTGTTCTTTATTTCAATTAGTGTGTCCTTCATTTCTGCTTTGATCTTTTTAATGTGCTGAGGTCCTCACTAAGCTCCTTGAGTATCCTTACAACCAGTGTTTTGAACTCCACATCTACATTGTTGTTTGGAGATGTTGTTTGGATCTCCATGATAGGTTGTTTACCTCCATTTCATTTAGTTCTTTTTCTGGAGTTTTGATCTGTTCTTTCATTTGGGCCCTGTTTCTTTGTCTCCTCATTTTTGCAGCCTCCCTTTGTTTGTTTCTATGTATTAGGTAGAGCTGCTATGACTCTGTGTCTTGGTAGTGTGGCTTAATGGAGTAGGTGTCTTGTAGGATCCGATGGCATAGCCTCCCCTATCATCCAATCTGGATACTCGAGGTGCACCATTTGTGTGGGCTGAATACACCCATATCTTGTAGCTGAGCCTTGGTTGCTGTTGGCAGATCAATGGGAGGGAATTACCCAGGCCAGTCAGGTGCAAGGACTGTCTGTGACCTCTGACCACAAATCCTCCGCCCTCTGCTGAGAATCAGCTGTGCAGGGGCTGGGTGGTGGTGCTCCAGTGTGTGGTCTGTAGCCGTCTACCGGGTGTGCTGTCCCTGGGGTTTCCCTGGTGGTGCAGGCCAAGGTCAGCCCCCACCTGTGTTTTGCCTGGGGCTACCCTGTCTGAGCTATAAAGCAAATGAGATGGCTGCTTCTTGTGCTGGGCTTGGAGATTCCCAGGCGAAGTGAAGCTGTGCATCTAAGCCGGCTGCCTGCTGTTAGTGCCAGGCCTGGGGCTCACTGAGACCAGCTGTTGTGTGTTGAGAGGATTTAGGAAGTTGTGCAGTATGAGCCAAGAACTATCCATTCATATGGAAAAGCAGCTTGGATGGGCCCGTAAGTTGGGTGGGGTGGAGTCTCTGGGGATCTCTAGGGCAGGTCAAACAGTGTTAGCCAGGTTGATGGAGTCACAGATATGACACCAATTTACTGGCTCTGGGCTCTGTGGGGGGAGGGTTTAGAAAAAGGGCAATGGCCTCTGATCGCCTTGATGGCATTCACTTCAGTTTCTCCCAGTATGTCACGGATGCCTTTCGAGCTGCTACCCCAGTGCTGGAGCCCAGAGGGAGTGAGTCTGAGGATGAGTCTGTGTGTGGGTTCTTTAAGAGGAACTGCTCGGGGTTCCAACAGTTTCCTCCACCGACTCAATCCCTGCTGGATTTTGCAGCCAGAAGTTTTGGAGACTTAACTTCCTGGCACTGGAATCCTAGGCTGGCGGGGGGGGGGGGGGGGGGGGGGGGCCTGGTGTGGGACTGGGACTACTTGCTGGAGATCTCTCATCCAAATTTTTACCCATCTCATATGGCTGTGGGATCAGTCGTTCCTCATCTGCACCCCTCCTACCAGTCTGCATGAATGTGGTTTCTTTAATTCCGTAGTAGTCAGATTTCCATTTAACTCGATTTCTGATGATTCCGAGTGATGGTTATTCTTGATTGTTCTATATTTTAGTTGTAATTTTGATGTGGTTATATGAAGATGCGAGCCATCTCCCTACACTGCCATTTTAACTGGGTTTACTCTTCTTTATTAGACCATGTTACAGGAAGCTCATTGCTGTTATTATTGGGTTCCCCTGTGGGTCTGTTCCTATAATGAAAATTTGCCTGTATTATTTTGTTTAACCCTTTCAGTACCAGGATAGATACTAGTAACATTTCTAGTCTACAGATGAATGAGTAGAGGCTCAGAGATTAAGTGAGTTCTCTGAGCTCACACAAGAATGACAGAGCCAAGACATAATTGTGGGGCTGACACTACTGCTGATGCACCCTGCAGTCTACTTCCCCCCTTCTCTGGTTCACTGATTCTAAATGCAAATGGAAAACATTGTGGAAGATTAAATTTTAGTCACAGTGGAGGTTCTTGAACTTTGTTCTAAAATATGTTCTGGTTATAGCCTATTCCTAGAAATCTGGTTCTTAGCATATTATTATTTTGTCATCTTATTGATTGCAGTGTGACCTTAAATAACTTCTTAAGTTGTCTCAAGCCCAGTTTGCCCTGTATGTAAGAATGTTATATGACCTGGTAAAGCACACCTCAGTATTTTAAAGATCTGTATATAGTCTATAGGAAGACAGGGAGCTTAATCCAGTCACTGGAGTGTTAAATTTTACTGCTTATTCTGCCATTGATTTGTTTAGTGGTTTTGAGTTAAGTGATTGTATTATGTGACTTTTTTTTTTTTTTTTTTTTTTTTTTTTTACCTAAAAACAAGGTTAATAATGCTGCTTATGGCCTTCTTATGTTGCATCTCAGTGAGGGAGAGGCCAACAGAGCTTTCCTAGATCTCAGGGTCCAGAGGGTACCGTGACTGAGTACTGGGCCAGGGTCAGATTACGTGGACTGTGGCCTCACTCTGCCACCTACTAAGGTGCATCACCCGAATGCTTCTCCCCCATCCCCACTCTGTTCCTACCCCAAGGGTTATGAGACTTAAAACAAGAAACTACCTATGAAGTGTTTTATACTTTATAGGTACGAGTATAAGGGAGGATGATTATCCTCAAAGTGCTATGAGATATTTGGAAATCTTAGATTTAACTTAGTCTTCTATGTTTTTGGACTTCTCAGATAACACTTCAGTTGTGTGTTTTAATTTTTCTTCTTCTTCTTCTTTTTCTTTTTCTTTTTCTTTTTTTTAGTGGTATGTGTGCAACAGAGAGAAATTATGTGAATCACTCCAGGCTGTGTTTGTTCAGAGTTACCTCGATCAAGGAACACAGATCTTCCTAAACAACAGCATTGAGAAATCGGGCTGGCTATTTATCCAATTATATCACTCCTTTGTGTCATCTGTTTTTAGTCTGTTTATGTCTAGAACATCTATCAATGGGTAAGTGAATCTTGGTTTAAAAAAAGAAAATGAAAAAGAAAAGAAATCTTGTTCAGGACGTCGACCACCTCAGCAGTGACAACACTTCTGCTAGAGGAAATCCTTGGCAGCAGATCCAGTGTCTCAGCTGTCTGTTCTTAGGATATTTAAGTTCACCATAACTTAATAAATAGCCTCATTAGTTTTAGTCCTCAGTTCTCTGATGGGAAGTACTCAGCAGTGCTTCCCAACTTTGATGTGCACAGGAATCACCTGAGGGTCTGGTTAAAATGCAGATTCTGAGGCAGTAGGTCTGGGGTGGGACCCGAGATTCTGAATTTTAAACAGGTGATGCTGTTGCTGCTGCTGATTTAGCAGAGGGAGTAGCAAGATACTTGACCCCAAACCCTTAACATAGATAGGGTGAGGACTAAGGCCTTTGCCTTAAGCACATGTCCCAGGAACAAGTTTTTTGGGGACTCTCTTTCAACCCAGTGGTGAGTGATGACATGTTTTGAGTGAAGGCTCCTGTATCTGTTCTTACATAATGTGTAGGCTCACCAGACTTCTGTAAACTTATTGGAGTTCTCAATCCCTAGAGTGGTTCTCTCATTTAAATCTATGGAAAAAGCTCTAGGAATATTGTTTATCCTTTCTTGGCTATATTTTCAAACATTCCAAAGATCAAGAATCCAGAACAGCAAAGAGAAAAGCAGCAGGGCTCAGTGCTTTAAAAGCCTGTTGGACCACTAAAAGCCACTGTTTTGGAGCCAGCGTTTATTGAATGTCTGCATCCCCAGTCTGTCATCTGTTCCTTACATATGTTTTCAGGCACCTTGAGCCATTTCTCAAGATTTCTTACTTGATTTTCTTCATTGCTTTTGTGAAATTGGCTGAAGTTTTCTCCAGCAAACAATTGTTATTTTTGTATTGGTAGTTGGGTTTATATAACTCATTCTGACATTTTGTTTCTAAAATTGGCTGCATTGAGTTTCTGTTCTATTCCATTTATTTTTTTTCATTGAAAAGCAGACAAGTCAGTGTAGCAATGATTTTTAACCTTTTTGGGTCCCTGTACCTGTTTGAAAGCAATAAAAGGCAGGAATCTTCTCTTCCTAGTCCTTATATTTAACATTTTGCATAAAATTTGGGGGAGATTTCAAACTCTGAGCTACTTGCCCCTCTCTCTACTCCTGGTTAAAATTCCCTGCTGTGGAATTGCACAGTTTGGTCAAAGAGAGACAGTATGGTTAAAAAATCCCTTTTGGCTTTCCTTATCTGTAGCTCTTCACTTTTTTTTTTTTAAACCTCCATCCCTTCTCTGCCTCCCCTCCCCCCCAACAAAAACAAAAACAACTCTTGCCATGTGTCCTTATTCTCATCTGAAAGCTTACCTTTGAGCCCATTGGCATATCCATGGCAGTGACAGATTGTTACCATGAGTGAGCATCTCTTACAGAAGTAATTACTATGGCACCTTCTTGAGGTAAGATGGTAAGTAAGATGCTTATTAGGCTTCCTTGTGATGGAGTGCAAAGGCCAAGTAAGGAGATATTTGATAGCTGTTTTGGTGTTTATTTTATAAGGAAGATACTTTTAAGGGGGACACGCCTACTCTACAGTCTCTGAATCTGGAAAGAACGTAGATTGTAGCTAGAGAACCTAGGATGGTTATTCAGCACTTAAAAAGAAAATCACATGGACATCACTAACTTTGGTAATTAAAGGCAAATTAGAGAATCAGACCTCTCCATGGTATGTGTTTGCTGGAAACCTTGTATTGACGTAGGTCAGTGTCTTGGCATTTTAGGTGGGATAGTTCTTCATCGTGCGGGACTATCCCACACATTGCAGGAAGTCTGACTTTTCTGGTCTTGCCCACTAAGCCATTGTGACTAGCCCCCACACACCCACCTACTTCCAATGGCTCTTAGAGGACAAAGTTGGTCTTGGCTGAGAAACACTGGGCTCAATGAATTTTGATTTATTTTTTGACAGTTTTAATCTTTTTGTGGAGCCACAGTTGGTCATGGGATCTTTGGAAGTAGGACAGTACTTCTCTCTCTGGTGCCTTTAGATAGAGACCAGTGAAGTGACCACCTGAGCTCTGGCCTCAGATAACCTCTAGCTCTAGAATTTTATGATTATCCTGTCAAGGTTTGTTACATGCCAAGGAGATGACTAGGGAAGCATGTTATTTTATAACTGGAAAAATTGAAGCCAAAGAATTATTTTGCAACTGACTTTTGGTGCTATGTCAGGTCAGCACCAATACTTGCCACATGCATCTCTAGCCACACTGCCTATGACCTCTGTAACCTCCTTGCTCTGACTTGTTCCTGTGTGAAACTTTGTATAGCTTTTTCAGTGAGTCTTGTTCCTTTTTCTCAGATTTGCTTTCTGCAGACTGTTTTCCTACTTGAATATATGAACAAGTGAGGCTTAGAAACAACTTGTCTTTCTTTCCAGATAGAATTTTCTCTAGTTAGCAGTTGTTGTAGACTGCATCATATTTTTTCTCTGAGTCCCCCACCTCCCATTTTTTAGCATTTCTCTGAGGAAGAAGATTTACTGTTAATACATTATTAGATTTGGTTAAACTCTCCTATGGCATTAGTGGCCAAAGGAGAGGGGGAATTTGTTACATGAACTCCATAGTTTAAAGTTTTTCCTAAAACTGGTCTTACCAGGAGCACCAAGTTGCACATATCTTTCCAGTCTTTGTATAACAGATGTATTGCACCTTACAGTTATTTCCAGAATGTGACAGTCGAGTGTAGATTTTCCTGCCATTTCCTAGACTAGCGGTATTCAGACTGGTTCCCAGAGTCCAAGGAGGAAGCAGCTCAGGACCTGCTTCAGCTGTATAGAAAGGCATTCCATGGGTCAGCCCAGCTCCAGGGCTCCACCTCATTCCAGCAGTAGTTCCCTGTGTCATTCTATACTTAAAGCATTGTGAGGGTCTGTGCCGTAGACAAACAAGGATTTGAGAGCTAGAAAACCAGGCCTAAAGGGGAGTACAGTTATTTCCACATGATGCTTCCATGAGGGTTTGTATGATCTCTACCTTCTCTTCCATGGGTCCTCTTTGATTTCCCTTTCAACTCCTCTCAGTCCCTTTTTTTTCAAAGACATTCCTATGTTTTGAGTGTTTTTTTTAAAAATTATATTTTATTTATGCTACTACAGTTGCCCTAATTTATCCCTCTGTCCCCTACTCCAGCCAGACACTCCCACTCTCTCAGGCCATCCCTACACTGTTGTCCATGTCCATAGGTCATGCATATATGTTCTTGGCTACTGTGTTCCCTATGTTGTACTTTCCGTCCATATGACTATTCTCTTACTACCAGTTTGTACTTCTTAACCCCTTCACCTTTTTTGCCTGTCCCCCCAACCTATTTGGCAACCATCAAAACGCTCTCTGTGCCCTGACTGGTGTGGCTCAGTGGATTGAGCACTGGCCTGTGAACCAAGGGGTCCCCAGATTGATTCCCAGTCAGGGCACATGCATGGGTTGTGGAACAGGTCCCCGGTGGGGTGGCATGTGAGAGGCAACCACACATAGATGTTTTTCTCCCTCTCTTTCTCTCCCTTTCTCTCTCTAAAAATAAATAAAATCTTTTTTTAAAAAGTTCTCTGTATATATGATTCTATTTCTGTTCTGCTAGTTTATTTTGTTTTTTATATTCAATAGTTGATATGTATTTATTGCCATTTCGTTGTTCATATTTTTGATCTTCTTAAAGACCTTTTAACATTTCATATAATACTGGCTGGGTGGAGATGAATTCCTTTAGCTTTTTCTTGTTGAGGAAGCTCTTTATCTATCCTTTAATTTTAAATGATGGCTTTCCTGGGTAGAGTAATCTTGGTTGTAGGACCTTGCTTTTCATCACTTTGAATACCACTTGCCAATCCCTTCTAGCCTGAAAAATTGCTTTTGAGAAATCAGCTGACCATCTTATGGGAGCTCCCTTGTAAGTAACTAACTGCTTTTCTCTTGCTGCTTTTAAGATTCTCTCTTTATCTTTAACCTTTGGCATTTTAATTACGAAGTATCTATTAATTATGAAGTGTCTTGGTGTGGGCCTCTTTGGGTTCCTCTTGTTTGGGACTCTTTGCTTCCTGGACTTGTATGTCTATTTCCTTCACCAAATTAGGGAAGTTTTCTTTCATTATTTTTTTCAAATAGGTTTTCAGTTTCTTGCCCTCCTTCCAGTACCCCCATGATGCAAATGTTGGTGTGCTTGAGGTTGTCCCAGAGGCTCCTTATACCATCCTCATTTTTTTTGGATTTTTTTCTTCTTGCTGTACTGATTGGATGTTTTTTGCTTCCTTATATTCCAAATCGCTTAGTGAGGTTTGATTCTCTGCTTCATCCACTCTACTATTGATTCCCTGTAGATTGTCCTTTATTTCAATTAATGTATCCTTTGTTTCTGACTGGATTTTTTTTATGCTGTTGGGGTCCTCACTAACTTCCTTGAGCATCCTTATAACCAGTGTTTTGAACTCTGCATCTGATAGATTGCTTATATCCATTTTGTTTAGTTCTTTTTCTGGAGTTTGTTCTGTTCTTTCATTTGGACAATGTTTCTTTGTCTTCTCATTTTGGCGGTCTCCCTGTGTTTGTTTCTATGTATTAGATAGAGCTGCTATAACTCCCAGGCTTTGTAGCATGGCCTAATGCAGTAGGTGTCCTGTAGGGTCCAGTGCCATAGCCTCCCCTATCACCCAAGCTGAGGACTTGAGATGTGCCTACCATGTGGAGTGTGTACACTCTCCTTTTGTAGTTGAACCTTGATTGCTCTTGGCGCATCAGAGGTCAGCCACCTCCTGTGTTCTGTCTGGAGCCACCCAACATAAGCTACAAAGTGATCTCAAGATGGCTGCTACTTGTGCTGGGTTTAGGGGTACCCAGGTTAGGCCAAGCTGTGAATCAAGGCCAACTCCTGCTAGTGCAAGGCCTGAGGCCACTTAGCAAGAGGTACAGGGCTCACTAAGACCAGATGCTGCTTGTTTGAGAGGATTTAGGCAAATCTGAAGCATGAGCCAAGACAGGCCATTTGTATGGAAAAGCCACTGGAAACTGCTTGTGTGGGACCAAAAATTGGGGTGGAGCATGAGGGAATCACCAGAATGGGGCAAACATCATGAGCCAAGTTGATGGAATCTCAGATATGGCACCCATCTGCTAGCTTTGTGGGGGAGGGCTCAGAAAAGGAACAATAGACTCTACCTGCACTCAGGGAGAAAGCTGCCCCCAAACTCTTGCCCTGCTGCAGGACCATCCAGTTCCTCCCTGGATGTCTTGTGCCTTTCCACCTTCTGCCAGCACTGGAGCTCAGAGCTGTTGAGTCTGAGTAAGTCTGTGTACAGGCCCTTTAAGAGGAACTACGTGGGACTACAGAAGTTTCTGTCTTCTGCAGCCTCAATTCCTGCTGGTTTTTATTATTTTATTTTTTAAGTATTTTATTTATTATTTTTAGAGAGGGGAAGGGAGGGAGAAAGAGAGGGAGAGAAATATCAATGTGTGCTTGCCTCTTGCACACCCTCTACTGAAGAAGTGACCTGTGACCCAGGCATGTGTCCAGACTGGGAATCAGACTGGCGACCCTTTGGGTCACAGGCCGGAGCTCAATTCACTGAGCCACATCAGCCAGGGTGCCAGCTGGTTTTTAAAGCCAGATGTTATGGCAGTGTCTCCTGCCAGCACTGGAACCCTGGGCCGGGGGGGCCTGGTGTGGGGCTGGGACCCTTCACTCTCAAGATATCCCTCCTGATTTTTATCTGCCACATGTGGATGTGGGACCAGTCCGATCCATGTCTCTGCACCTCTTAGCAGTTTTGATGTAGTTTTTGTCTTTAATTCCATAGTTGTAGGACTTCCATTCAGCTTGATTTCTGGTGGTTCTGAATGATGGTTGTTGTGTTGTTTAGTAGTAATTTTAATGTGGTTATGTGAGGAGGCGAGCCTTATTTACCTATGCCTGCATCTTGACCAGGAGATATGGTTTGAGTGTTTTTAGGATCTTTAGAAATAATAGGGCCCAGCCACTTGTATAACAAATACATTGATATGAGTATGAATCTACTTTCCTAATGCAAATTAAAGACCACTCTTGTTCTCTAAAAAATTTATTATCCTAAAACTATCTTTTTCTTACCCATTGTTTAGTTTCATAAAGGCTTCCCCCAACCCCATATTTGGTTTTTCTACTTAGTGTTCTTGACTAGTGTTGTGGCCCAATTCTGTTGGTCTGTGATCTGATAAATAAGTTTTGTATTACTCTTTCCATCTTTCCCTCCTATTTTGACATGAATTCTTCACATTAATTTTTTTTCCATTTATTTATCTCCCCTTCCCTTCTTTCTTCATTCTTTTCCCTCTTCATCTTTTATTCCTGTTCTTGCCCTGCTCCTTTTGGGGTATTATTTGCAAGCCCAAAGACAAATGATGCTATCTGGAGGTATTCCCTTATTTTATTAACTTTGCTTTTTCATCATATAAGTCATAAAAAATATAAAACATTTTAATCACATAATCATGTAAACAATTTGTAAGTTCATAAAGCTGTTGGTGCTGTCACCAGAATTACTCTGTATATGTATATGAGTGGTGCTTACCTCATATTGCCTCTTCCATTTTTGTCCTCTTTTTTTCAGGTTGCTAGGAAGAGGCTCAATGTTTGTGTTCTCACCAGATCAGTTTCAGAAACTGCTTAAAATTAATCCAGACTGGAAAACCCATAGACTTCTTGATTTGGGTGCTGGAGATGGAGAAGTCACAAAAATCATGAGCCCTCATTTTGAAGAAATTTATGCCACTGAGCTGTCTGAAACTATGATATGGCAGCTTCAGAAGAAGAAATACAGGTATAATTTTTAGACATGGTTTGGTGTATATTTCTTGGTTTTAGACATATTTCTGTTTGAGAGCGTATTATTTAAAGGATATGAATCAGAAACACTTTTCCACGGTTAGAAACTAAAAAAAACAAAACTTTTCATGTTACAGTTAAGTGGGGATTGAGAGCCATCATCTTTCCTTGGCAGTATTTTTCCTGGACTGTTGGGAGGAAAAAAGCAGATGGAAGACAACTTGGAAAGAGGAGATCAGATGTAGGGACTTGTTATTGGAGACTTTTGTCTATGTGATGTTAAACTAAGTGATTTGTAAGATCCCTCTTCGCTCTAGCAGTCTGTCTCTGATAAAATCCTGGTGGTCTGTGTGGTGATGATTGAAACATAGTCCTTCAATTAGAAATTAATTTTCCATTTCAAACCTTGGAATGTTTGACATTTGTTACAACAGTGGCTTAAATAATGCTGAATTCCTAATCTGACTCTCCTCTCACTTTGAAAAAAATGTGTTTTGAAAGTAGGTATGGCTAGGAAAGTGTTTGAATGTTCCTGAGCAGGCCTCATGATATTTTTAGAATTTTCTAGGTTGTCTCTACTGTATCTGCTCAGCATTGTCAAAGACTTGTTTACCAGAGATCCTTTTTCTGTCTCCTTTTCCCCATCTGTCATAACATGCACCACATACTACATTCTGATAGCTATGAGTAAGCCTGAGTGGAGAAGTTATAAAATTGCCATAATGGTTTGGCTTACAAAGACTTTTGATACTCATAAAGATTTCCCCTTTCTGTGGTTAAAACACAGTAACACAGTAGAAGTGTTCTTTGAGAAAGAAAGAGGGCAGGGGGAGAGGGAAAGATTGAGGGCTAAGAGTGGTATGTGAACTATACTTTTCATGGGGAGACCTCCAGCCAAGATGGAGGCGTAGATAGATACACTTTGCCTCCTCACACAACCAAAAGAAGGACAACAACAAATTTGAAAACAAAAAATAACCAGAACTGCCAGGAAACTGAACTGTAGGGAAGTCCAACAACAAAAGAGCTAAAGAAGAAACGTTCATTCAGGCTGGTAGGGGGCGCGGAGACAGGCAGCTGGGGTGGAGAGGACACGTGGCAAGGTGGCAGTTGGAAGACAGGATGGGCGAGGTGGCGGCTGGCAGACCGGGTGGTCCCACATTTGTGTGCGGATAAATTGTGAGGGACGGTTAGGGAGTGGGACAGACCACGCAACCCATGGCTCCAGTGCGGGAAAGGAGAGCCTCAAAACCTCTGGCTATAAAAATCTTTGGGAGTTGCAGCGGCAGTAGAAACTCCCAGCCCCACAGGAGAGTTCCTTGGAGAGACCCACAGGTTCTAGAACATACACAAACCCACTCACCTGGGGAATCAGCACCAGAAGGGCTCAATTTACTTGTGGGTAGTGGGGAAGTGACTGAAAGCTGGCTGAGAGCCAAGCAGGAGGATTTTTTCCTCTTGGACTCTTCCCCCACACACAGTGTCACAACACAGCAACCTGGGTTGCCCCGCCCTGGCAAATACCTAAGACTCCACCTCTTCAACAAAACAGGCACGCTGAGACGAAGAAATATGGCCCAAATGAAAGAACAGATCAAAACTCCAAAAATAGAACTAAGCAATGAACAGATAGCTAACTATCAGATGCACAGTTCAAAACACTGGTAATCTGGATGTTCACTGAATTGGTTGAGTATGGTCACAAAATGGAGGAGAGTGAAGGCTACGCAAAGTAAAATAAAGAAAGATATACAGGGAACCAACAGTAAAGGGAAGGAAACTGGGACTCAAATCAACGATTGGGAGCAGAAGGAAGAAATGAACATTCAACTAGAACAGAATGAAGAAACAAGAATTCAAAAAAAATGAGGAGAGGCTTAGGAACCTCTGAGACAACTTTAAATGTTCCAACATACGAATCATAGGGGTGTCAGCAAGAGGAGAGGAAGAGCAAGAAATTGAAAATTTACTTGAAAAAATAATGGAGAACTTTAATAATCTGGCCAAGGAAATAGACTTCCAGGAGATCCAGGAAGCTCAGAGAGTCCCAAAGAAGTTGGACCCAAGGAAGTACACACCAAGGCACATCATAATTATATTAGCCAAGATTAAAGATAAGGAGAGAATCTCAAAAGCGGCAAGAGAAAAGGAGACAAGGGGACAGTTATGTACAAAGGAGTTCCCATAAGACTGAATTCCCATAAGGAACCTTGTAGGCACTGACAGCTGATTTCTCAAAAGGAACCTTGTAGGCAAGAAGGGGCTGGCAGGAAGGATTCCAAGTCATGAAAGGCAAGGACCTACATCCAAGATTACTCTACCCAGCAAAGCTATCATTTAGTATGGAAGGACAGATAAAGTGCTTCCCAGACAAAGTAAAGTTAAAGGAGTTCATCATCACCAAGGCCTTATTACATGAAATGTTAAAGGGACTTCTCTAAGAAAAAGAAGAATATCAAAAACTATGAACAGTAAAATGACAACAAACACAACTATCAACAGCTGAACCTAAAAACAAAAACAAAAGCAAACTAAGCAAACAACTGGAATGGGAACAGAATAATAGAAATGGAGATCAGAGACAGGGGGGAGGATGGGGGAAAAGGTACAGGGAATAAGCAGCACAAATAGTAGGTACAAAATAGACAGGGGGAGGTTAAGAATAGTATTGGAAATGGAGAAGCCAAAGAACTTATATGTACAACCCGTGGATGTGAACTAAGGGGGAGCCATGGAATTCTGGGAGGAGGGGCGATGCAGGGTAGAAAGGAATAAAGGGGAGAAAAAAAGTGGGACAACTGTAATAGCATAATCAATATAATATATATTAAAAAAAAAAACCTTTGCTCCTCTTGACCTTATAGTTTTAATGGAATATTCTATGCTTTATCTTCTGTAAAGTTACTCAGGTATGAAGATTGTAAAGTATGAAGTAATATCTCTCAGGAACAGCTATGCTCAAAAGTTATAGGTTGTAAACGGAAATTATCTGTACTACTCCCAGCCATTCTTAAAAATAGGAGGGACTCTAGGAATAGAAAACATAAATATATATTTTATGATTAAATTCCAATTAATGTAGGAAATAGAGCTCTTCGTTCATTAACTGATGTTGAAGAATTTGATGCTCTAGTTTTATAATCATTTTTATCACCATGCCATCATTCCTTATTAAGCATACGATTAGCTCTTGTAAAGAAAATCTTGTTTTGAAGTTTTGAAATAGGTGAAATGCCAAATTTAAAGAAATACGGTAGCTATTTTTCTCTTGCCTGACCATTTTATTTCTGGAAATACAGGTTATAAATGAAGATTTTAAATTTGTTTTAATTTGTAAGACAAAGTTAGACCCTTTACTGGCATCTCAGTTATTTTTAAAGATGACTTTAAGGGAGTTTTGCATCAATCCAGTTCTCTCTGATTTTTTCCAGAGTGCTCGGTATAAACGAATGGCAGAATACAGGGTTCCAGTATGATGTCATCAGCTGCTTGAATTTGCTGGACCGCTGTGATCAGCCTCTGACTTTGTTGAAGGATATCAGAAGTGTCCTGGAGCCAACTAGAGGCAGGGTCATCCTGGCCCTGGTCTTACCCTTTCATCCCTATGTGGAAAACGGTGAGTGTGGTCAGGCTGCCTCTTCCCTACCATAGGTGTTTATTGCTATTTGTGAGTCTCTTTTTTAGAGTAGCCTAGAATTTTAAAGAATACAGTTAACCCCTGGAAAATACCTCCTTGATGAATGTTCATCTCAGTTTGGTTTTTGTGGAACTCTATCCCCTTTGCTGTGGTGATAATTAATGTTCAGTGAGGCCTGCTCACTCCAGATGGAAAGCATAACATGGGTCCATATTTTGTGCTTTTAAATGGAGCTTGCACCATTTATTTATTAGTTTATAAGCTGAGTCAAGCAGCAAATGATGCCTTTTAATCCGCCTGTATATACTTGCTGAATGTGATAGCTGTTTTGTATTTTACATTTATTGTCCCAGACTCCTAACAGTAATAAATGCTGTTATCCATTTTGCCCTTTTGTGTTCCAGCACATATCATTTCTTTGTGTAACATTTGGCTCTTTGATTGTATAACCTTGCTCTTCAGCAATATTGAATGAAGAATATATTGGAAGAAATGGTTTGATTTCCTGTTCATATTTATCTACTTTAACTTCTGGTAGTAGTCACATTGACTCATAGTTTTAGCTAATGTGGTTTTCATTTCAGGTCATTTTGAAAGTTATGACTTTAGGCCTCTCGCATTTTTGCAAGTTAATGTACAGTAATACAAAATTATTGATTATATAAGTAATACCTGTTAATATTTAAAAATCTTTAGTTTTTAAAAATTTTACTGCCTAGCTCAGCCTGAGGTTCAGAAACTCTTAAGAGCTGCCCTGGTTGGGTGGCTCAGTTGATTGAAGTGTTGTCATGTACACCATAAGGTTGCAGGTTCGATCCCTGGTTGGGGTGTATATAGGAGACAACCCATCGATGTTTGTCTCTCACATCGATGCTTTTTTCTCTCTCTCTCTAATCAGTTTTTAAAAACCTCTAAGAGCTTGCAGACATTTTTACAAAAAATTTTTAATCCTCACCTGAGTGATTTTTAGATTTTTTTAGAGAAAAGGAGGAAGGGGGAGAACATGGCAGGGAGAGAAAGTAACATTTATTGGCTGCTTTCCATACCACATACCTACGTATGTGCCCTGACTGGGAATTGAACCCACAACTTTTTGGCATATGGGACGAGGCTCCAACCAACTAAGCCATGCTGTCAGGGCAGCTTGCGGACACTTTTGAGAAGTGCACGAATATTTTGCAAGCATTGTGGTTAGTGACTGAAAATCTGTATCCTAAGGAATAATGTTTATGTTCGCTTATTGCCATGGATTTGTGTTGCCACTCACTTGCTCCCTTACTTCTTCTTGTCTTTATTTTTTCCCCCTCAGGTTTTAGTCTGTTTATATTTAATGCTTGTCTTCACATTTACTAAATGGTTTTAGATATGTGTTGATGACAGACAAAATGGAGATTTCTTTGGACATAGGAGGGTGAGAAAGAGTATAGACAGATATTCCCTCCCCATGTCCATTTTTACATTCCTGTTGTTGAATTGTCATGGTAAAGAAAACACTGTTTTAGAGATGCTGTATATCCTACCTGTATATCATACATGTGTTGTACAGTGAAAAACCCAGTAAATGTCCTTCTTGATAGTTCAGAGACCTGACCTTATTTCAGTGCAATTCCTGTATAATTGAGCCTTGGCTCTGTCTCTGCATTGTAGTCATGAGTCATCAGGTTGTAAGGTCTTGGTTTCCAGTCTTATTGGGTGACCATATGGTAGAACTTTAATGCAACTCCCTGGCATAGCAGGAGGTGTAGAAGAGTAGGGGAAGAACATCAGTTTGACCATGATTTTTATATCTTTGTGTTTCTGACACTAAATATGGAGGGGGAGTCACTTTGGACAAGAGGGTGGTTTCCAGTAAAGGCTGAAAACAAATTCCTTAATGGTGGATACACAGAGTTGCCTGCTGAGTCCAAGGAGTCTGTAGCAACACAGCACACCTGAGGCAAGCAGCTTTGTTGCTGTGGGTTACCTGGAGTGACCTATACATTTTGTACACTGCTTCTTGGTACTCTTTTATGATTTTTTCTCTAAGTCACTGATTAGACCCAGATGGTTTCCAGGTAACACTGTGAGGACTGGGAGGACTGATCTTGCTGTGTGAATTCATAAGTACTGGGCTCTTTGAAGGATAGCTGAGTGTACTTTGCATACTTGGCTTAATTTATTTTTGAACAAAAAGCAAATGTAGATTAAATGATTCTTTGTGTAATTTTTTTCGTTTGCCTCAAGGTTAAACTACAATGATTTTGTTACTTAATTTGGAATAAATGCAAAATGTGCCTAATTTCATTTATTTGGTTTACTAACCCAATTTTGGTTAGGGGTTATTAAATCCACTGAGAATTATCGTAAGCATCAAAAAAGTAAAGTATATGCAATCAAGAAAAAGAGAATTATATTGCAAAAATGAAACTGTAGTGATGTATAATTTTTTAATTGTAATTTTCATTAAAAGGTAATTCATGATAAAGTTCCAGTAGTTTACAAGAGAGTATATAATGAATAGTTTCTCATCTGTTCCAGTTCCACAATCTTGTTCAAGTTTATCAAATATATCCCCAAAGATAGTCTATGCATATGTGTGTGTACATGAAAAAATGGATTATATAATTAAAGCTCATCATAAATACTTACATTGCCACTGAAACATGTCTAGGAAATTATTCTTTACCAGCATATACAAGGTCTGTCCAGAAGGTATCCAGTGATGTACTATGAAAAATAGAGACGTTTATTGAAGAAGATCGAACATACAAGAAACATTGTACATAGGACAGTGACACGTCAGTCCCCTCAAAGTAGGAACCTTGGAACCTCACACAGTTCTCCCAGTCGCAGTCAACTGCTCTGTCATATTTTCCTGAACCTCACTGATGGTTTGAAGTGTCTTCCTTTTGAAAGGGGATTTTAGTTTTGGGAAAAGCCAGAAGTCACAGGCCACCAGATCTAGGCTGTAGGGGGGCTGAGTCACCTAGGTGATTTGCTGTTTCGTCAAAAATACTCTGCACGAGACATGAATGCATGAGTGGACGCGTTGTTGTGATGAAGCAGCCAATCACCAGTTGCCCATGGCTGGGGCCTTTTGAAACATCTGAATAGTTTCCGCAGAGGAATGTTCAAGCTTAACACAGAATTTGATGTAGATTTGTTGCTCAGTCATTTTGAATACACTGGCCATATAGTACACGTGCTCACTTGGCAGCATCTACTGCTCTCACTGACTAGTACAGCGAAGTTGTTCATGCATGTGTATTCCAGTCCACTCTCCATTGCTGCTAGGTTATATCCATGTGCGAACTGTTCTTGTTATATTAACAATAGGTAGACTTTTTCCAGGCAGACCTCATATGTGTCTGTGTTATTGTTGGGCTGTGAGCAGTGGTGTGCTGGAGCTGGTTTTTCTGGCTTATGAGTGCTGGTTGATATATTGGCAGGAATTTGGTGTCCTCATTGTGAATGTGGCCATTACTGCAGTTGACCATGGTGCAAGTACTTACACCATGGAAACTGGCACACACCACTGGTAGCCTCTTCTTGGAGCAGGTTGCTAAACATTTATGTACACACCACGGAGTGTGTGATAACCACTTCAGGAAACCCCTTCCAGACACCAGCAGTTTGCTTTATAAATAGTAGTGACATGAGCTTTTTTTTAAATTTTACTGATTTTTTTTTTTTTAGAGAGAACAGAGGTAGGGAGAGACAGAGCAAGAACAAGAAAAACATCGATTTGTTGTTTCACTTATTTATGCATTCACTGGTTACCTCTAGTATGTGCCCTGACCAGGGATTGAACCCTCAACCTTGGTGCATTGGGACAACACTACTACCGAGCCACCTGACCAGGCCTATGTGAGCATTCTTCTGCAGGTCTGCATACATCAGGCTGCTTTTTGCTTCAAGAAACAGAAGGAGCAACTACAAATAACTTTTTTTAACTTCTTTTTTTAAAATTAATTTATTTTTTCAAATACATTTAGCTCCTCCTTCCCCCCACCACTTTCCCCTGTCCTCCCTTCCTCCTCCCTCCTTCAATCTTTTCCCCACTTTGGCTTTTAAAAATTAAAAGACTATTTTAGCCTTGTCTCAGTTGGTTGGGCCTCGTCCCATAAACTGAAAGGTTGTGGGGTTTGATTCCCTGTCAGGGCACATGCCTAGGTTGCAGGTTCTGTTGCTAGTTTGCTCTCACATTGATATTTCTCTCCCTCTCTTTCTCTCCTTTCCCTTCTCTAAAATCAATAACCATGTTCTCGGGTGAGGATTAGAAAAAAAGTTTATTTTAGGAAAGTGAGTCCATAGTTGGTTAACTCAGAGATATACCTGCTCCATTAAAGCACAGAGCTTGCTGGTTTTTTTCATCTTCTGTGTTGACATTCCCCTCACAGTCACAAATGGCTGATGTGGTGCCAAGCATCCCCTGTAGGCATGACTAAATCTTGAAAGGAGAGGGCCTTTCTTCCATACCTTTTTTTTTGAGCAATGAAGGAAACCTTGTCCAGAGATCTCCCCAGCACTCAGGTCCCATTGGAAAAGATGGGGGCACACGTTCCTGTCCAACCAGCAACTGGCAAGGAGCTTAGGATACACATATGCACTCTTTGGATCTCGGTGTGTGTCTGGGTGTGGAGTCAGGGGGTCATCTGCAGTGAACATGTTTGCACTATGGGGCTGAGCTCACAGTGAAGGTGGAAGGGAATTGGCTGCTGAATACTCTGCCATAGCATAGTTTCATTCATTTAAAAATTATTTACTGAGTTACCTACGTTCTGGGGATACAGTGAGAAAAAAACATACACAAACAGGTGCCCTCATGGAACTTACATTTTGGTGAGGAAGACAGTCATTAAACAAATGGCATGTCATTGGTGATGTGTTGTGGAGAAAATAAACAGCAAAAGCATGAAAGGGGCCTCTGAAATTGGGGGTTGGGTTTGGGTACCATAATCTTAAAGAGGGTGCTTAGGGAGGGGCCTCACTGAGAGAGTATGACAAAGACCTGGAGGAAGGAAGGGTTAAGCTTGTCTGTATGATGCAGTTAGAGGGCTGGAAGTGCCAGCCTGTAATCCTAATGCTGTTTACGGAATCATCATCTTTTCCTCAGTGCTTTGAAGTGCCCCACCTTTATCATAGACTAAAGTCCAGTGTGTGTGTGTGGTTCTCTGCTGTTAAGATTGATCTTTGCAGCTCATCATGTGTTTTAATATCATGGCACTGCTTGCCCTCAGTGCCTGTTCAGACTTTTCTTGGCTCGTTTATATAACAGATCAATTTTACTAGTAGCTTATCTAGTTCCCCCTATATTAAATATATAGTTTAATTTAGAGATTATTGAGCCTTCCTAGTTAATAATAGGATGTATTTTCCAACTGGGTTAATTCTTGGTGTTCTTCAGTAACATGAAATTTTCTTCACAAAGGCCCCGCACAATTTTTGTTAGGTTTATTCTAATGGTGGATGTGTGAGATATTTTAAGTAGAAATTTCTCTCCTATCATATTTTTTATTTTTAAAATGTCCCCAGCTTTATTGAGGTATAATTGACAAATGAAAATTTTATGTATTTAAGGTACACATGATGATTTTAATATATGTATGCATTTTGTAAATGATTACCATTATCGAGTTAATTAACAGAGTACTTCATGTAGTTATCTTTTTGTGTGTGTTGTGAGATTTATTCTCTTAGGAAATTTCATGTATACTATACAGTATTATTAAATGTAGTCACCCTACTACACATTAGATCTACAGAACATATTCATCTTAAATTGAACGTTTGATTGACTCTGCTCCCCACACCCTCCCAGCCCCTGGCAACTGTTGTTCTTCTGTCTGGTTCTAGGAGTTTGGCTTGTTTAGATTCCATATACAAGTGAGGTCCTGCAGCATTTGTATACTTCACTGAGCATAATGTCCTCCAGGTTTGTTCACATTGTTGCCAAGTGGCTTTTCCATTGTGTTTTAGAATGAATACCATGTATACATATATAAGCAGTTGATATTTTTATCTTTTGTCTTATTGAATTACCTTAGTGTTTGCAATATTTTTTTTATTGATTCTCTTGTGTTTTGAAATGGTTTTGCTACTTTTCATATTCAGACATTTTCTTTTGTTCCAAGTGAGTTGATAGTTTATTCTAGAAAATGTTAATTAACAGTGGATATTTTTGTCTTTATTTTGACTTTAATGGAATGTTTCTACTTTAAATATGCTATCTTTTGGCTTCAGGTTGCTTTTGTTTGTCTTGAGATACATATTTTTTAAATCCTGTTTTCTTAAGGGTTTAAAAATTGGCATAAAAATATACAGTTGACCCCTGAACAATGCAGGGGTCTTGTTTAATTTCTATTTTGGTGTCTAAGATACTCACATATATACACAAAAATAGGAACCACTATTGAATATTTCACTGATTGTTTTCAGAATTTATGGAGGTATGGTCATCCTAGTGTTTTTATTCCTTTGACTTATTAAATTAATAACACTTTTCTAATATATATCTGTCTTTGCTGTTGTGGGCCTAGGCAGAGTAGTAATACATCACTAGATTGTCTTTACAACAATTCTAAATAAAAATAATTATCATTAATGTTGATGAATTGTTGGTCTGTATCTGGTCTTTCATTTATTTGGAGGATGCAATTTGTGCCATATTTTGAAATCAGTGAACTGCTGGCTTTGTAAAAACTAATTGGAAGTTTTTCCTTTTATGCTGTGGAACAGTTTAAAGGGCACGTGGTTATCTGCTCTTTGAAAGTTTAGTGATTTCTCCTGTTATAGCAGTGAGGCTGACACCAGTGAGGCCTGTGCTTTTTGAAAGGTCGTCTTTGCCAGCTTTCTCACTTTCTTCCAGGCTCATTGTTCTAGCTAAATTATACACAATTAGTCTGAAAGTTCCTATCCGTGTAAATACAACAAGCAAGTCTCTGGCTGGATTGTTTCCTGGAAAGAGCCTGGGCTTTGAGGGACAACCTGTGTTCCAACATGGGTCAGCCCTTATCACCTCTCATTAAGCTTAGTGTTTCATCTGTAAAATTGGGGCTAATACTTACCTTAAGGTATGTTGTAAGGATTAAATAATCTCATGTGTAGGGTAGAGCCCAGCTGTGTCTGTCTCCGCACTGGTATTTGATGCGTCAGATTTATTTTATCCCATCATGTTCTTTTATTTTGTTTTTATTTGTGGCTTTATTGACTATATCTGTTCTTCAGTTTGAAGTATTTGTTAATGTCCTTTAGATCTGCCTGTGAAACTCCTTTAACAATAAAAATCATAATATCATGCCTTCATTCTGCTTTTTAACTAACTTGGGCTTAAAGTTTACATTTTCCATTGGTTTATGTGACTTGACTCCATAGAGGTTTAGCTACGTGCCGATTAGTCAGAGGTTCAGATTCTCACAAGTCTTTTGTAGCAGAGAGAAAGAAATGGCTTATTTTGAGAATCCTGCTCCCGTCTTTTGGTATGTGGTTTAAGAGGTATTGTAAGGGTGTGTAGACACTAGAACCATGACTGTCTGTTTCCCTCTTTTAGTTTTTTCAGTATTATTCTGTTTTCATTATCATGGGAAACTAAATTTAAACAGAAAGCTATAGCTTAATTGTTTCTAGTAAAAATTCTGAATACTCAGGAATATTAATAGTTAGGGATTCAGTAAACAGTCCTTATGGATAAGGGTGTGAGGGCTGGTGGCTAGGGAATGAATGTGCTTCATATCTCGGTTGAAGTGCTGAAAACATTTTTCTGTAGAAACATTGTTCAGTGGTATTCATATGATGGCATTTGAGAGCCTACTACGTACCAGACAGTGCTAGGCAGTGGAAATACAAAGATGACAGATGAAAAATGTGCTTCTAGCCTTAAAATACTTACAGAATAGTACAGCAGATAGATGTAAACAGACAATGGCAGGATTGTTCAATAAGAAACATGGCAAAGTACTGTGGGTTTAGGGAAGACTCATTAACCCCTGGGGGAATTACTGAAGGTTTCATGTGGTAGGTGACACTCATGCTATTCTGTTTCTGTGAAGCCTTTTACTAGGCAGAGGAAACGGCATACGCAGAAGCATGAGAGAGTAGACATTCACAAAACCCATGGATAATATCTAGAGGCCACTGAGTAATAGTATTGTGCTCAATAAATACTGTTGGCTGGGTGGATGAATAAAAGAATGGACAATATACACACATCAGGCACTCATATGTAACCTGAGGGAGAAGAACTCCCTCGAACTTTGGGAAAGTGTATTCCAAATTTCAGCTTAAAAATCAGTCTTTGAAATGTAGTCCTTGCTTGTAGTGGGTAAGGCTTATTCTCAATGAAATATCAATACCTGTTTATCTTAGGGATTTTGTCTGCCAGTTAGTTATGCAAAGAACAGTATATTTTCAGCCCTGGAAGTACCAAAATGTAATGCTTCTCGGAAATGGAAAGTAAATGATCTAATTCAATACTTCTGTTCACCTGGATGGTGTTACTGCCTACTCTTTTTTTGCCATCCTGTTTAAAAGTTCTTTTATTTCATTGAAGCTAGCAGTCTCAAAGTGGGGGTACACACCCCAGGGAGTACACAAGATACTTTATTTTAGGATATGGGAAGAAAATAGTAGCATTTCTAATTACAGTTGACCCTGTAACAACACAGGTTTGAACTGCATGGGTCCACTTATATGCAGATTTTTTTTTCAGTAATTACTGTAAATGTATTTTCTCTTTCTTAGGATTTTCTTAATATTTTCTTTTCTCTAGCTTACTTTATTGTAAGAGTATAGTATATAATACACATATATAACATACAAAATATGTGTTAAATGACTTACCAGTAAGTGAGGCTTTTGGTCAAGAGTAGACTATTAGTAGTTAAGTTTTGAGGAGTCAAAAGTAAGTGTATTTTTGATTGTTCAGTGGGGAGAGGGAGTTGGTGCCCCTGACCCCTGCATTGTTCAGGGGTCAACTGTATATTTTTATGCCAATTGTTTAATTTCTATTTTGGTGTCTAAGATACTCACATATATATACATATACATGCTCACACAGACATTATACTTACATACAACATATGTGTACACACATAAATAGTTCATGTGCTCCCCCTTTCTCTTTCCATTTTTCCTGGCATGTGTGACTAGAAAGGTTGAAGATCACAGATTCAATTCATCCTCGAAAAACATTTTCAAAGGGATCTTAAAATATTTAAACATTCTATCTGGGGTTTTAAAATAAGAATATACCTTATTTTGCCCTGGCTAGTGTGGCTCAGTGGATTGGTCACCAGCCTGTGAACCAAAGGATCACGGGTTCGGTTTGCAGTCGGGGCATGTGCCTGGGTTGTGAACCAGGTCCCCAGTTGTGGGGCACATGAGAGGCAGCCACACATTGGTGTGTCTCTTCCTTTGTTTCTCCCTTCCTTCCCCTCTCTTTAAAAGTAAATAACTAAAAATCTTTAAAAAGAAATAAGAATATACCTCATTTAATACCATTTTAAAAGAAACCACTGAAGTAAAGTAATAGGTTGTAACTCATATTTAGTGAATGTACACTTGTGGGTACTTTAAATAGATTTTTTTTTTTTTGCACTGAAGTAACTTTCAAGGAACAAGTCATAGAAAGTTTTCTTGATGAGATGGTAATGAGTTCCATAAACATTCTTCCTGAATCAGCCCTTTGTCTGATATTTCCCTCCTAAATTGGTTACAGCTTAGACACTGTGAAGTACAAGGTGTTGCCCACTCCTTCCCTGCAGCTATTGGGCATAATTCTGACATATGAAGTTGGCTGTGGTGTATTCGTTTTGAGGTTTTCTCTGTTTAGCCTTCTGCCTTGGATTTTCTATATTTTAATTACCATCTTTTTACTATGTTCTATTCTAGTCTCACCTTTTGTTGGCAGTGTGATGTGAGTCATTTGTACAACCTGGCAGGAGAGTGCATTGTACCATTGTCCATGACAGTACTAAAGGAGATCATTTTTACTCCCAGGTACTCTGCAAGATGATTTTTCTTTAGCTCAGGTTTTGACACTTTCTTCCTCCCTTTCTTCTCCCTCCCTCCCAACTTAGTCTGATTGGCCTGTCACTTGCACAGTTTCCACTCAAACTGAGGCATGTGGTGTGGCTTCAGATCTTCAGGATAATAGTCATCACACACTTCATATGTTGAATAAAACAATATATAAGATGAATGTTATAAAAACGGAATTTTCTGAAAATGTTAGACTGCTTAGAATTTTAGTGATTTTGGAAAGTATTTGCAGTTTGATTTCATTTTAGTATTTTGGTAATTATTGTTAGTTGTTGTTTCCTTGTACTCTGGCATCTTGTAGCCATTCGTCTTTTCCATTTATCTTTGATTGTGTTTTTAAAGTCCTGATGGGTGTATGTTCATTAACACTGCAGTAACTTATGGATTTTCAGGACTTAATTGAAAATTAAAGCATTTCTATGGTCTTTCGTAGTTGTCAGGCACTCTTCTGTTTTCATAAGTGTCTTTCTCCTGTAATAGTAAATATTCAATATTATATAAGCAATAATGCCATGCTAAAAGCAATATATCAACTACTGTGCCATCTTGCATTTCGGGTCCTAAGTACTCACCTGATAATCTTATAGGTCAAGTTGCCATTTTTTCTTTACTTAGATTGGATGTGGGAACTGAAAGTTAATTTTCTTGTTCAGATGCCATTGTTAAGGTCCTGGCTTAGAACATGTTATAATTCTTATTTCCAGGCCACTTACCTTCTGCCTCTTTGCTGAAAAACATGCCCCAGGCTCACTAAGAAGAGTGTGAACAGGCATTTATAATTATTCAGAGTGGCACCTTTGGTAGCCAGACCAATTCTTTATGTGTTTATATGTGCATTGAAGGATGAAATGACTACTTAGATGATACTCTTTCCTGGATGAAAATTCTTTTTAAAAGTTGATTTTAGAAACCACATCTCTTTCAGAAACCTGTTACTTTTGCCTTTTTGGCTGCTGTTTAAGAAGAAAGTATCTCAGTAGTTCATTATCTTGTATCATTTTAATTCAAATATGAACAGTCTAGTCACATGGCATGTAAACTGAGTATATGCTCTACTGGCTTTAAAATAGCATCCCGCTTGCAAAACCTGTTTACATAGGACTTTAGAGACACTATCAGAAGGTATTGTCAATGCGTTCTTCCTACCACTCCAGTCCCAAAGCCTGAAGAAATAATCAGCTTTTATTTTCATTAGCTGTATATTTTCTTCTGTGAATTTATTTCTGCTTTATTAATAACAAGTAATGTTTACTATAACTTGATCCGCAAGCGTTTGCAATATGTATATAATGCCTACTCTTGCATACTGTACAAAGTAGTCTTCAACCCACAAAAGCAGCCTTGTCTATATTGAAACATTTCCTGTGCCCACTGTGCTTCTGAAAGAGTCCATGCTACTGAGATACCTGCCTGGTCTCTTAATATTGTATCAGATGTTTTTTGTTATGTATTTACCAAAACAGGTTCTACATAAAGACTCATTGTATTTGTGCAAGTCCTCCTTTGAATTCTTCTACAGGAAACCGTGATTATTGTTGGCTATCGGCAGCATAGTTTTTTAGTCAAACATACATTATATCTGCATAATATCTTTTTCATACTTTACACTTACGTGTTGTTGGCTTGTTCCCACATATTTCTTATTATAAAGTTCTTGAGCAATTTCCTGAAAAATACGCCTAGCACTCTTTTTCTGTAAGTACAAATGAGAAAAAAAAAATGCCCCCACCTTAGGACTAGAAGCGATAGATGTTGCATATCACCATGTTCCCCCTCCCTTCCTCCAGCCCACTTTCCCATATCTGGTATTTTGAGTATATTAATTAGAATTTATGGCTGAAAACTATAAAGTTTAAATCCCATTTTATCATTTGAGTTACCATCCAGTTTCTCAACAATAAGAAACAGTAGCTGTGGTTGAAAGTTACCCTGATGCTCTCTGTGTTTCTTAAACTGTTTCAGATTTGAAATAGTTACAAACAGCCACAATGTAAAAGACAAGCATTGGCCTGTACCTTTTGGGAATCTTCTTTTTCTTTGCTTCTTAAAGTGTTAGATTTTGACTGTCAAGAAGAAAAGTAAAATCTTAGAAGACATTTTATGTACTCGAAACAATTGTGGCAGAGCTCTCCTACCATAAGATTTATACTTAATATTTAATGCTATAATGTAAGAGTTAATCATTTTCTTGCCATTTTTGAGATGCTTATATTATTAAAATAACTCAGACTGATGTTGGTTGTTGGATTTATAGTAATCATAATAGAATATTTACAGAGCCTTCTTATAGCATATGAGCAGCCAGGAGATACCCTTTCTCAAAAACTTTAGGCCTTTAAAAAGTATTTTAGGGTTTCTAATTTCTTTGTTCACCCCTTTTTGCTCATTCTTAAACCGTTCTTCCCCCACCCCCAGCAGAAAATTAGCATATATGATGGTTCTAAAGAAGGGGTCCTTATTCCCATATTACTGGGTTTTAAAGAGAAGACATTGTGTATTCCTGTCAGTAATAATTTCTGTGATGAAAATATATGCCTTCTTCTCTGACCTCTCCTACAGGTGACATTTCCTGTAGCTACACAGAAGATGTTAATTGGATGAGCTGTTTCTGAAGCTCATGTAGGGAGAGGTAGGAATCCAGATGCAAGGGAATTTGACTTACTTTGGAGAGGATGATGAAGATCACGAGTACACCAGCAACGTAGATGGAGAGCAGTGATAGCAGAGCGATCAGGAGGCCCTGCAGTTCCTTGCCTAGACCTTTCATTTCTTGTTAATTACAAAAACAGAGAGAGCTACAGTCACTATTGAAACTTATTACTGCAAATATACGTTTAAAGTTTAACTGAAGCTACATTTTAGAGGTGAAACATGAACTTACTCTGCTTGATGATTCATAAAAATTTATTTATTGTCTTTTGATTCAAAAGACACTCAAGTATACCATATAGCTAAAGTCAGTTTAACATTTTTTAGAATGTATTACGCTGAAAATGTTACTTGTTTTTAAAACAATTTATTTAAAAATTCAATTAGTTGTCATAATGATAAAAATCACTTTTTATATAAAGCATTACTTAAAGTTAGGTAAACATTTTAAGACAGTTCAAGGGCATTTACGATTTCTTTTGGTAGAAATGATGTACAGTGTCACTGAGAGTCTGTTTATGGAGTGAAGAAGATATTTCCCCTCTATTTGTTAATGCTGACATTTGTGACCTCGAGCCATTCATTATACGTAGCTGACTAATGCAGTTTGTAAAGGGACCCGAGAATGCCATGCAATGAGGATCTTGGCGATCACTAGGCACTTAAAAGACAGGTGTTGTTGCATGTTCCCTTCCTTTCTAATAAAGTCTTGGAGGTAGAATTCTTAAATACATTTTCACATTCTGAACTCTCCCTCCTTGTAGGAAGTGTCCTGTGCTCTATGTAGGCATAGGTAACACGCTCTGCATTCAAGTGTTTGATTATTTGAAGTACAAAATACAATTTGATTTGTAGTCATTATCTGAATAACCTATACTTTTAAACTATATATCCCATAGATGCTTATTTTGTGAGCTCAGTTTATGTGACATATATTTTTGTTCTGAAACTAACAGATGTGTAAAATTTTTAAAAAATATTTCAAGTGCTAGAATTAGGAGTTCTACAGAAAAGGCAGGACATTTTTATGTCTGTATTAATGATACTTTCATTTCTGCTCCTAAACAAGAATTTGTCTTTACATGAGATTGCAGTTTTGGGACCATTATCTTCTTCAAACCCTTTTTCCCTTTGGATGATATTTTTTTATAGAAGACTAATGCAGTGAGCCATGCAGATCTCCAAAGTTGTTTTGTTTTTGTTTTAATATCTGAAGCTAACATTTACCTAGTACTTGCTATAAATCAGACACCATTAAATGTGCTTTATGTATATTAATTCATTTATGATTTATCTTATAGGTGAGAATCAGATAGGGTGAAGTGGCACGGGACTATCAAAAGCCCCTGGAAATACTCCTAGTAATTGAAAGCAGGGATTCTAACACAGGAGAGCTCAGGCCCTCAAAGGCCTGTGTGGGTGACTTCACATATCCATGATCTCAGTGCTCATCATGTTGGAGTCCGTTTTAAGGGAAGAGATAAAAAGGAGTCAAGGAGTTAATACCCTCTCTTCCTTTCCCCAGAATCATGTGCAGCTTTTTTTCTGAAATATTAAAATTTAATTTCTTAATATATAGGCCTTAGGTTCAGTATCCTCACTTGAATGAGGAAATTGTCATGAGTTTTAACAAATCTCAAGAAGCCATAGTCACTCTGGTCCCTTTCTCTTCTGTCCACCCAGAATGGTAGGGGCAGGGACACCCCTGTGGCTTCTGTTCAAATTTCTATTTATTCTCCATAACATGTATTTTTTCTGAGTCCAATTTATGATCACTTAGGCACTCCTTCAGTGTTTTGTTCTAGATGGTGCAATATCAGACCAGTTTCTGAGAAAGCTGATAGAAACCATCACAAGTTTCCCTTTGGCCTCAGTACGTCACACCACTCACTGTAATAGATAGAAAGATTACCTTCACTAATAATGTCTGGATGTGGGGGGAGAACATAGCGCTCAACATACCCCTCACTTTGTGGAAGCTGGAGGCTGGGGGCGGGGGTCACAGTGGTTTTTTAACCAAACTGCATGTTGGCTTGTATTCAGGTCATGACCCTTCCCTGTCTAGCATATTAAGCCAATAGAGTTCTGTCATACCCTCTGTGTCTCAGTGGTGTAATGCATTTAGAGGGCTGAGCACAATGCGGCGTACCGGAGTACAGCCATGACCGACTGACCTCTCACTACCAGCACCGTCCCGGCTCCAGCTTGCTTGGCCCTCGGGTCCTGTGAACTGGGAAAAGCTATTCCACAGATGTAGATGGCACTGTCGTTGGATGTCAGCCTGTTGACCGTGAGGGAGACCTGGTTTTGTGCCAGGTCCCTCCTCACTGTAAATTTGTCTGTCTCACTTGTGCACCCATCCAAGCAGAGAGTCTCTGGCTGGTGAGCTCCGTAGCGAAACCACAGGTTGCTGGGTTGCTTGGAAGGGCACCCCGCTGCAGAGAAGGAGCAGGGCACGGTCACAGCCACTTGAGTGTAGTCCACTTCGAGGACAGGTGGTTGAGAGACAGAGATGGTACAGTTGCCTGCAGCACCTGTGGGAGGAAGACAGCCTGTTCTTCTATCTTGCTGACGTTTGTGGGCTCAGGAACTCCGAATTTTTTTTCTAACCTTACTCTCAACACAAACAAGAATATAAAAATAAGACATTGGTGGTCCTCACTTTTTCTGACTCCCTGTATTTCTTGATGCTAACCTGCTGGTTTACAGTGATGTCTGGTTACTTGGGCACAGCCCCAGAAAACTTCCAGTGGGATCAGCCTCAAGAACAGAGGTGGTCACAGATCCGGATCAGAAGTTCAGGAACCCCATGTTCACTGTTGGTGGACTGATTGGCAGGTTTGGACTGATTGGCAGGTTTTTCTGGGATCTCTCAGAGCCTACGTCCTCCTCCGTACCCCTGGCCTTATAGGATCGTTGTGCTCAGTGTGGTACTGGGATCAAAGCCCTCATGCCAGTGTCGATTCTATGGCTGAGCCACCTGAGCAGTATGTGTTTGGGGATTTTGCCTCGTGGGGGTTGGGATTGCTAGGAATTCATGGCAATTCACAGTTGTCCCTTTTGTGAGCCCAGTTGTCCTTATGGGAAACACTATAAAAGAAAACTGTGCACCTGGGGAAATGCCACCCTGGCTTGGTTACTGAACAGAGCCCTTATGAGCGGGCCATGCCCGGCTAAGCAAACTGATTTCTTCTGGGTATTTATCACTGCTTTGTAGTCCCTTGTAGCTTCTTTGATGAACAGTATGGTGATAAAGGGCACAGACCTGAGTTGGGATCCCAGCTCTGAGTGCATCTCAGCTTCCTCATTAGAAGAATAGGGGAGTATTCTATGTCTTGTGGGGTTAGTGGGACATTTGAGACCATTGATGTAGGAGGATTTACTTGCCTAACCTACAGGAAGTATTGGGTTGGCCAAAAAGTCTGTTACGTTTTTTCCCATATGAAGGGTCTAGTAGTGTGTGGTTGTCTTAAACTTCATTTGAAACAATTTTGTTAGATTCTATTGTGACAGCTGTCATATCAGCATGTATTTTTAAAAATTATTAAAACTGGTGAATTTTTGTGCAGCCATTTTAATTTGAAAATGGAAGAAGATACACAACATTTTTGGTGCATTATGCTTTATTATTTCAAGAAAGGTAAAAATGCAGCTGAAATGCAGAGAAAGATTTGTGCAGTATATGGAGAAGGTGCTGTGACTGATCAAATGTGATTTGTGAATTTTCTTGGTACTATTGACGTTTTGTCCAAATAATTCTTTGCTGTGGGGCTGTCTTATTCATTGGAAGATGTTTATTTTAGCAGCACCTCTGGCCTCTACCCACTAGAAGCCAATAGTGGGAGATAGCCAACATACTCAAAATATCCGAGTCAATAAAGTTATTGGTGAAAATGAAAAATGTATCTTTTATTTTATGGAAAAAACATAATGGACTTTTTGGCCAACCCAATATTTAAGAGCAGGTAGGGAATTTCTGCTGCCTGTACCACTTTTCCTACTGCCACAGTGTTCTGCGCCCATTTCAGAGGTAATTACGGATGTCCCAGTAAGGTGCTGGCGGGGCTGGGAACGGACACCTGGGCCAGGGCCCCTCCACCATGTCATGCTGCTTCCCCAGCCACACAGGGTGACCCTACCTTGACCTCATCCCAGGTGTGTGAATCTGGAAAGCCACTTGCTTGTTTGTAATTGGAAGTTCTGCCCTAATATATATATATAAAATATATATATATATTTTTTGCCAGTTTTTAGTCTCATTTCTGCCTGGTTGTGTGTTTCCAAATGGTTTTATTTGTGTGAGTCTGTAAATGAAATAGAAGAATCATCCACCTGACCTGATGCTTATGTTTCAGATGGGTTTTTTTCACTTAACATTTTTCTTACATGTCTTGTTATGAGGCACATCTGTTCTCACCATATTTTAATTTTAATATTTGTACAATTTGAGATGAGCAGGGAGCTTTTTAGTGATGATTTGATAAATATAAATCATGTGAGAGGGTTAGGTCACCTGAAGAAGACCAGCTGAAGGTACTGGGTTCACTGCTAAGTTTCATAAACAGTCCCTCAGCCTCCTACCCAGACTACTGCCTTAGAAGCCTAGACAAACACTTTACAGCTTGTAACGAGTAATCATAGAATCTTGGAAGTTTGAATTAGAAATGGCCATGTCAAAACATAACAGAATTAACCGACAGTGTCTCAAATCCAAGTCCTCTGTTTGATGAAGTTCTTAAAAAAAGCTGGCTTTTAACTCTTTTCTTGGAGAGCTAATGCCCCATGGTAAAAGAAATATTTCCAACTCTGGAGTTTTGTGTCTCCGCCTGTTTTGCAGTTCTGAGAAAAGAGCCTGCGTGGGAGCAAACCAGTTGTAGGGTTTCCTGTAAGAGCACAGACCTATGAGGAAACTTCTGTATCTCCCCTGCACCAGTTAAGCAACGTCTAGGGAAAAAGAGAAGTTTGGGTAATATGTCACACCCCAGCTTGCTCTCGTGAAAAATTTCTCTTTAAGAACTTGCATGTTCTGTAGGATTTTTATTTTTATTTTTTATTTTTTATTTTTTTATTATTTTTTTTCTTTTTAGCACAGAACCCTCTGAAAAGGTTGAAATTTTATCTCCTTGATGGATGGAATAAAAGAAGGTTACTTTACTATTTTAAAAAACAGAACTGGAAAATAAGTGGAAAACTAATTTTTGACACTGAAGAAAAGCCTCTTACGGACAGTTTCAAACATGCAGCAGTAGTAGCAGGCTAGCTCAGTGAGCCCCTGCCATCGCTGACTCCAGCCCCATCTTGCATCCTGCCTGCTGACTCAGTCCTCCCGTAGGCTCCTTCACTCCCATGTTGTTTTAGGGCAGATCCCAGACATTCTATGTGAGGATCTTTCAGGGTACATCTTTAAAAGATCAGGATTCTTCTTTAAAATAACGCTAGTTAAAAGTTTATAAATGAAATATGTATTTAATAGAAAAATACAAAATATTACTGAAAGTAGAAGTGAGAGGTCACTCATAGTTCTTTCACCCAAAATAACCACTGTTAAAATTTATATATATATATATATATTTTTTTTTTTTTAACAGATGAAAAAATTTTAAGAGGTTTTGCTGCCTTCTCTGCCCTGTGACCCAACTTTTGTGGGCAAATCTGAGATCATTAGGTTTATTAGAACTATGATGAAATTATTAGAACTGTGAGGTGGGAAACACTTTCTTTTTCATGGAAGAAAACAGATATAGGAAGAATTTTAAAAATAGATGTATTTTAGGATGGTTAGTCTCTAGAAAAGAGCCATGGCAATTTTTTCCCCCAGATAATTACTCTAATTTACAGAAATTGGGCTTTTCAGAAACATTAGTTTCTGAAAATATTCAAGAATTGTTCAGTGCCTCTATGTGCTGAGTTTGGGAACTCACCATATGGGAAGTAAATTGTTGATGACAAGCACATGGAATTTTAGGAATATTTTCAACCCTTTTGTGCGGTGCTATCTCTATAAAGCAGCATAATAGCAAAAGGAATTTTTCAGTGTTGACATGAAACTTTCTCAGCTATTATTTTGTCACCTATTTTCCTGTGGGAAAAGCAAACTTACTGCTTTAGACAATATCCATAATGTTTACATTTAAAAATTAATCTATATGAGCTTAACATATAAATGCTTTAGGCAAAAACTAGCGATTGATTTAAATAAAATGGAGGAGAGAGAATTAAAAAGAAGGAGCTTACCGACATAAAACAGAGTCATACTGATTTCCAGACCGAGAATGATCTTGACTGCTCTCACAGCCTCCATATCTGTGTATGTGTGGTGAGGAGTATGCATTTAAAGAGAGCTGGCTTTTTTTTCTCTCTCTTTTTATAAAGGAAGAACTGAAGAGAGGAACTCTTATTAAGGAACCATAATCAGGAACTTTTTGAAATTGTGTAAATATTTTTTGTAACCCAGTTTCACCATTTAAAGTTGAGATTTTAGCTTAGAGCACATTTCTAAATGTACATATGATAAATTTTTCTTGGATTTTACAAATCTTCACAGGCTTTATATGGTTTGAGTAAGATTGTGATTTGTGCATATTCCCAGGAAGGAGTATTGTTTGATAGATAGTGACCCTTTAAATTTCCAGAGCAATTACCTCTGGTCCTGGGGCACCTACTGTGTGCTCAGTGCTGGGACAGTAACTCTGGGAATGGAGAAGCAGAAGGAAATGTCTTCATGTAGAGACAAAAGGAAGATTAGTGAAGAATAAATATCACAACACAATGAAAAGTAAGCTGTGTGCCCTTAAGTAGTTATGCCTAGTTTTGTGTGACTGCTTTTTAATGTGCTGTGAAACAGATGTGTGGAACCTCTGTTATCCCATACCTTCCCCAGCCCCTGCGCCCCCAACTCTTGGAGATTCTTTGTAAGCAGCAGAAACTGACTCTGCTGACTGAAACAAAGGGGAATTTATGGAAAGGTTTGTGGTGAGCAGTTAGAGAGTCACTGGAGTACCAGAGAATTGTGTATGGGGGCTACAGCCAAGAAAAATGCCCCAAATCACTATCAAACTGATGTGAAGCTTACAAAACTGCACCAAGCACCAGATGTCGTGGTGAGGACCAGACTCAGTACTGCTCAGTGCTGCCCCAGGCTCAGCTCACCGCCACTGCTCCAACCCCAGAGAAGGAGCTTTGGGCCCCACTCCTGGGCCACTATCTTCATCCCAGGACTAGGCGAGCGTGTCTGAGCTCAGGCCAGGTGCAAGTGCCTTAGTGGCAAGAAAGGCTGGGGAAAGCAGCTTCCCAGGCTTTGCCTGCCCCCACAACTCTGGGATAAGGTTCAAGTACTGTGCCACTGAGAATGAAAATCTTTCCACTGTAGTGTTTGTACTCTTGGCACTTGTCAATGATATATTTTCTCTTTTATAGAAAGTTATTCCTAATCTGAATTTAGTAATGTTTTTAATATATATATGTGTTTATTTTACACCATCATAGTATCTAAAAGCACCCCATAGTTATATGCACCATTATCTGCCTGTATCTCTCTTTATAGTCAGTGTTTGGTGTGTATGTGAACTTGAAGACCTTATCATCCCCTTTCTCCCTCACCCCACCCGCCACCCGCACATTTGATGCTCACAGATGTGGAAATGACTGACATTGATTCCAGTCACTATTCCAAGAAATGCCAGGGTGACTCATTCATTTTAGTGTTCTATCTCTCTATGATCCTGGAGCTTAACTTTTGTGAAACTGTTCTGAAAAGTTAGGGAGTGGCTCAACTTCCCTTGAAAAACACACTGATTATCTATTTTTATAAATTAAAGTACTGTATTAACCTAGTTTTATTTTCAGCCTAACAAACCTCTGTAGTTAATATGTTGCATAAGTTTATTACATTCGTGGTATTTTTGGCACTTACCCAGAACTCTCTTTCAAGTATCATGTGTTATTCTTGCTTCAATATTCTAGTTTTTAGTGAGGAGTTTTCCAAACCATTAGCCATTATACGTCGGTGGATCAGTCAAAGTGGGGGTGATATCTGAAACTTTGCCAGAGAAGGTAATGGTATAGGCTTTGGGTCCAGGTAAACCTGATATACCTTTCTGCTCTCATTACACTCATTAGCTTTGTAAGCTTGGGCTCCTTCTTTAGCCCTTCTAAGCCTCTCTACCTGGTCTCTGTCCACCTACCTCAGGGGTACCTGGCAGGTGAGTCATTAAAGCGCCCGTGCTCAGCACATAATCTTCCCTTTGTCCCTCTTTAAATAACTTGTTTGTTCAAGAATTTAACTTAATGTTTTCATTTGTTTTAGTAGGTGGCAAGTGGGAAAAACCATCGGAAATTTTGGAAATCAAGGGACAGAACTGGGAAGAACAAGTGAATAGTCTGCCTGAAGTTTTCAGGAAAGCAGGTTTTGTTATTGAAGCTTTCACCAGACTGCCCTACCTGTGTGAAGGGGACATGTATAATGACTACTACGTTCTGGATGATGCTGTCTTTGTGCTCAAACCAGTGTAAACCCGTGGAGGCCACAGTCTGCAGAGCCCTCCTGGAGAGGGTCTGCATTCTCCATTACGTGAAGGGGGGATCTCTGGGGACTGCTGTTCTAAATATCATGTAGGAATTTAAAAAGCCAAAATACTAATTATTCCTTTGTCGTGTGTAAAAGGAATGTTTTTTAAAAAACAAAACCCGACGCTTTGAGGATTTTTATCAGCTCTTAATAATGCAGGTCTCCAATTATGGAAAATATTTTTTATACTTAATTACAGTGGGAGACTCCTCCCCAGTCCAAGCAATAGTCATGATTCCAAATGGAACAATAAATATGGATTGTTTTTAATAAAATGAAGACTGGCAATAAAGGCATCCATTCAATTGCAAATACTGATTATAAGGTATAGCCACTGGTACGCTTTGATGTTTAGACATTCTTTCTGTCATTATTCAAAAAAATGTTTTTAATCATGCTAATAAACTTTTTTGGAGATGAATTTGGTATCAGGTTTGAGTTCATATAAGGCTCTCCCCTAGAATCTCTTACTACTTTGATTTCAGGGATGCCCACATAGTAGCACTAGATGAAAGACGCAGTTGACTTGAACATATGATGAAGGAAGGCTTCAGATGAGAAGGGTTGGGGATTATTACAAAGCACGACCACCAAGACAGTGGAGACCAACCCTCAAAAGAACGACCTCATTGAGGTTAGTACTTCAGGGACTGCCCATTCCCCAATTCATTTGCTTTGGGAAATGCAAAACACTGGGTTCTGACTTTGCAATAGCTAACATCCTGCACTTCAGAACTTTGTTTTTCTGGACAATCTCAGGTTCTCAAGAGTTGAAACATTCAGTTGTGTCTACCAAACAAATGCAACCTGAAGATGTTTTATTTCTACTTCTTACTCTACATTTGTATACCTCTTTCCTAGAGCTTGGTTCTTCTCGAAATCCTTGACTGGATTTATTATTTGTCAAGAGTATGGACTGATGGAGACAGTGTCAGATTTGTGCATTCTAGAATATGTGAATGCTTCCAACCACTTAACCAGAAATGTTGCAGTAAAGGAACTCATTAGCTGATCAATAACCATTGTGGATATTCCAAAGAGTAGAGCACTTAACCCAGAATCTAAAATCTCAGTAATAACAGAGATGCCAATTTGAGACTGTGGTTATTAACAATATGTTATTCTTACAACTTTATTTTTTCAGCCAGGTGTTTCATTAAATATGCCCATTTATGTGCTTACAGAAGTGAAAATCAACACATTTACTGCCACACCTGGGTATAAAGGTGAATTAAAGCCTTGAGGAGAATTACTTTACTATTAAGAACGGCACTCCCACATCCTCACATCAGTATCTTCCATTGTTATTGTGTAGTCATAATGAGTTCAGTTATACTATTTATGCATAATTGTTGGTGCGTTCTAATGCTTTCCCCCAGGAATTCAAATAAGTGAAGTGCAAATGCTTAGCACCCTAGATTATAAAAATAGAAGGAGGAAATGACTAAACGCAGTTCTTGTACAGTTGAGATTTTCTTCTTTATGAACTGTCACAATCGGGTTGCCATTTAGACCGTTGAATAAGAAGAGTGCAAGAGTGATGGATATTCAAAAGGCAGGCCGCCCCAAAGTGTTTCATAACTTTGAAATTCAGACTTAATTTGCAGGTCTGCTAAAAACAACAACAAAAAAACAGAACAAAAACTCTTTACTCAAAAAAGCAGAGAAAACATATATTTACGCATTTCAAAGATAAAAATCGTTTCTTAAAATCTGCGATTCTCTAAAGACCAGCCTATCAAAAGTGATATTTTATGGTGAAAATTTAAACCAATAAATCTCCCATTCCATAGATGGTCCTAGAAGTCCTGGTGGTGTGACACCATTTCACTAGGTGGCAGTGTTGCTTATTCAATATCAATGGCTTCCCCCCCACCCCCCCCAAAAGGAATCCTGTCGTCCAGCCCGGCACCACCCCCCGCCCCCCCCCACCCCCCAAGTACAATAAAGCTGCCTTCTTGTCTGCAGCATTCCTTATGTGCATATCAAGTTTAGGTTGTGCTAGAGAAATGAAGAGGTCTGTTTGTGGTCAAAGCAAGCTACTTGACCTTAGGTCATGGAAAGAGGAAATGCAAGCTGCACCTGAGAGTCCTAACCCCTTACACCTGCCAGCTGTAAGCCCTTCAGTGCTTAGACCACTGATTTCAGAGAAGGGAAGGAAAGAAGAGAAAATACCCTTAGTCATTTCTCCCTTGTGCAGAGTAGTTAAAAGCCACAGTATATTTTCTATTCTGTAAGTCATACCAGTTTTTACGTAGCTGGCCTTTAACAGAAAAGAAGCTGGGCTGGGAAATAAAACTTTATTGTTTCAAGTCATCTTTCTGAATAAAGCTTTGTTTTTACTTCGTTCTGAGTATAGTATTCAAATAGACTCAGAATGAAGGAAGATGTTTTGACCAGTTGCTTCCCACCACTTAATGACTGATGAAATTTCATATCTTTTTTCTTTTAACAATTACAGCACATTGAACATGGGCTTCCAGTGGATAAAGTGACCTACCACATTTGTGCAGATACCTACATATCCCCAAATAAATTTATATTCAGTGCACCCGTGTTATAGTTGGAAGACGGTACAGTGAGTCAAAGCTGTCTGGTCCGAGCTGTACTGCCTAGGAGTCCACTGAGTATAAAATTGGGTTCATTATTGACTCAAAACAGGATGCTCACAAACTTAAAATTCGCTTATCAGAGATATAAAATCATGAATTGGCAGAAGTTGACACTGTATCCACAATAACATTTTTGATCCAAGTGAAAAAAAGCACCAAAATTGTTAAGGAAATAGTACTGCAATATAATTCAATAGCCTGCCTTTTTGCAATTAGTGGATTATGAGAAAATACCTAGGCAACAGTGAAAAGTACAATAAAAATTTCACACCTACTGTACTTACCTGTATACATGTTCATATTTTTCCACTTTCTTGGTTAATTCTAATATATTTGCATTTCCTTTGTCTTCTATGTAGGAATTTAACTTTTTTTTAGTTTTCGCTTTTTAAAACATTCATTTCTATCCTCATTGGCATTTTTTTTTTCATTGCTTTAGAGAGGAGGGGTGGGGAAGAGAGAAACATTGATTGGTTGCCATCTTGTACACACCCCCACTGGCCAGGTTGCAGGGACTTGAACCGGCAACCTGGTCAGATATTGAACCTGTGACCTTTTGGTCTTTGGGATGACACCCAACCAACTGAGCCACACCAGCTGAGGTTAAAACATTTTAAAATAAACTTTTATTTTGGAATAGTGTTAGAGAAATCTTGCAAAGATAGTACAGATAGTTCCTGTATACTCTACGCAGTTTCCCTGATGTTAACATCCTATGTAGTCATGTTAATATTTCAAAAATAAGTTTAGATGGACTCCTGGCCAAGATGGAGGTGTAGGTAGATACTCTGCTTCCTTGCACAACCAAAAGAAAGATAATTAATTTAAAAACAAAACAACCAGAACTGCCAGAAAATGGAACTTTATGGAAGTCCAGCAACCAAGGAGTTAAAGAAGAAACATTCATCTAGACCGGCAGGAGGGGCGGAGACAGACAGCCAGGGTGGAGAAGACATGGCGGCGGCAAGGAAGTGGACTGGGTGGGTGAGGTGGTGGCTGGTGGACTGGGATATACCATAATCATGTGTGGATAAGCCAGGAGGAACAACTGGGGAGTGAGACAGACCGTTCAACAAAAGGAAACAAGCCTCAAACCCCCTGGCTGTAAAAACCTGTGGGGACAGGCAGCCGGGGTGGAGAGGACACACGGCAAGGCGGCAGCTGGAAGACAGGTGGGCAAGGTGGTGGCTGGTGGACTGGGTGTTACGTTTGCCTGCAGATAAACTGTGAGGAACAGCTGAGGAGTGAGACGGACCACGCAACCCATGGCTCCAGTGCAGGAAAAGAAAGCCTCAAAACCTCTGGCTGTAAAAATCTCGGGGTTGCAGTGGCAAGAGAAACTTTTAGCCTCACAGGAGAGTTCCTTGGAGAGACCCACAGGTTCTAGAATGTACACAAACCCACCCACCTGGGAACCAGCACCAAAAGGGCCCAATTTGCTTGTGGGTAGCAGGAACAGTGACTGAAAGCAGGGAGAGTGCTGAACAAATAGCACTTGTTCGCTGTCTGACCCCTCCCCCACATACAGTGCTGCAATGCAGCAAAGTGGGTTGCCCCGCCCCTTACAATGTAACAGCTGCACTGAGACAAGGAAATACGGCCCAAATGAAAGAATGGATCAAAACTCCAGAAAAAGAACTAAGCAAAAAGGAGATAGCCAACCTATTAGATGCAGAGTTCAAAAGTTCTGGTAATCAGGATGCTCACAGAAATGGTTGAGTACTGACACGAGATAAAGGAAGAAGTGAAAGCTATGCAAAATGAAATGAAGGAAAATATACAGGGAACCAACAGTAAAGGGAAGGAAATCAGGACTCAAATCAATGATTTGGAACAGAAGGAAGGAACAAGAATTCAACAAAATGAGGAGAGGCTTAGGAACCTCTGGGACAACTTTAAATGTCCCAACACCTGAATCATAGGGGTATCAGAAGGAGAAGAGGAAGAGCAAGAAATTGAAAAGTTATTTGAACAAATAATGAGGGAGAACTTCCCCAATCTGGTGAGGGAAATAGACCTCCAGGAAGTCCAGGAAGCTCAGAGAGTCCCAAAGAAATTGGATACAAGGGGGAACACACTAAGACACGTCATAATTAAATTACCCAAGATTAAAGATAAGGAATCTTTTAATGTTTTTTTCTTTTTTTGATATATATATTTTTTGATTATGCTATTACAGTTGTCCCATTTTTTCCTCCCCTTTATTCCCCTCCACCCTGCATGGCCCCTCCCCCCAGTATCTTCAACTCCCACTTAGTTCATGCCCATGGATCATACATATAAAGTCTTTGGCTTCTTTTCATATACTATTCTTAACCTCCCCCTGCTTATTTTGTACCTACTATTTATGCTGCTTATTCCCTGTACCTTTTCCCTCATTCTTCCCCCTCCCCCTCCCCTCTGACCTCCATTTCTATGATTCTGTTCCTGTTCTAGTTGTTCGTTTAGTTTGCTTAGTTTTGTTTTTTGTTTTTTAGGTGCAGTTGTTGGAGTTGTGTTTGTTGCCATTTTACTGTTCATAGTTTTGGTCTTCTTTTTCTTAGATAAGTCCCTTTAACATTTCATATAATGGGGCCTTGGTGATGATGAACCCCTTTAACTACTTTGGGAAGCACTTTATCTGTCTTTCCATTCTAAATGATAGCTTTGCTGGAGAGAGTAATCTTGGATGCAGGTCCTTGGCCTTTCATGACTTGGAATCCTTCTTGCCAGCCTCTTGCTTGCAAGATTTCTTTGGAGAAATCAGCTGATTGTCTTATGGGAACTCCTTTGTACATAACTGTCTCTTTTTCTCTTTCTGCTTTTAAGATTCTCTCCTT